ATAGGAGCAATAAAGCACACCAGTTTCTATGGGACCAAGAATTCAACAATAAATATCACCAAATCCAGACATTTTTAGGACTGCAAATCCGTATCTTCCATCATGCCATCATGTACAAAACAAGAATAAACAATAAAGTCACAACGTTTTGTATAAAGATTATAACTACACAAACATCACTCTCGTACAAAAAAAACCAACCTGTACAATTGAATTTAAATATTATACAAATATAGGTGCTATTATTATTATTATTTGTGTTACTTAATTACCTTTATATTATTATTATGAATGTATAAATTATAACATAAAATATTAAATGTAAGTTTCCCGGCTAATGACTTCATTGATCTACAATGCACTTTACCAACCCTATCCTTATTTTCAATTTTTTTTTATGGTTCAAACGATGGTATAATAAGTGTTTACGGGAAACTATTATTTTAGAAGTTATAGCCGTTTTAAATTTCCTTTTATATGGTAAATGCTAGTAGTTTAGATAGGGGTACTCATTCATTTTTGTAGTTTTTTATCCAACTCTAGGTCCGGACTCTTCTATAGGAACATAATATAATGTTTGTGCAGCGTTTATACCGTTTATAACCCTTCCCTAATGGTCATTATACTAGTACACTTGGTAAACGACTAACGAGTCTTTTGTTGAAAATATATAATATACATGTTAACGATTTTTTAGTCACTAAATCTATAACAATAATTCTTATTTACTGATTTATCAATTATTGATCTATACGCTTGACAATACGATAACGTTGTTTTTGTGTTCACATAAATGTTTTCATTAAAAAAAAAAAAAAAAACACGAAAAGGGTTAAAATAATTTTTGAATGAAACGAGTATTGTATAAGTACATGTAACCAAGAATTTAGTTCAAAATAAAAAAGTGAAATTCAAAAAACCAAAAATTTAAGATTATTATCTTTTTTATCCTTAAAATTTAAGGAGACACAATAGACTACGATAAGGTGAATAGGTACCTATGTGCAAAGTGTTAGGCCACTGGTCACCTTTGTAACGTTCTCACGACCGGTCCCTGGGGCTGACGAGTGGGCGCTTTTCCTCGGACGCGTGCGACCCCGAAACGGTTGCGGGAGCGAAGGTTGACTTTGATGAGCGGCGTTTATATAGTGATCGATGTCTTGCTCGTTGACGACGGACTGCTGAGCAAGTGAAGCGAGATTTGTTGATGCGGAATCAGCGGTGATCGGACAAGAGACCCGGCCGATGTTGGATTACCGTGAGACGAAGAAGTGAGAGTCAGAGTGACTGAGGAGGTCCTCATCTCTCGATAATTTGGTTAGCACCCCCCTTCCAATGACCGCGAAATCGTGAGTCGCCAGACCCTGAAACGGTCATGTTTCCGCTGGTCCGACGACGATGACTTCCTTGTTCCCAGCCCATATCTCTGCCGCTCACCACGAGCTAAAGTCTCCGCCCCTGTCGTCGTCGTCCCTCGTTCCATGTGACCGTAACTGCAGCTGGCGGTGGTCGGAGAATGTATACACCCTCGTGTTATTTCTCGTATCTTCCCCTCCTTTACACCATTCTGTCCGACCGAGAGGGGTTGAACTATTTGGAGCTGTGGACGGTTTCTCGTCGGCAGCAACACAAGACGTGGAAAATTTGCTCCGACGGGGTTGAACTCATTCTCCGGTTGTTACTAACCATCATAATCTCTTTTCCATATGATAGGTTCTATGTTTCTGTTACACATTTTTTATTGATCGTCGGTTAATTATAATCATCAGACTAAACGAAAAAATAGTTTAAACGAAACAATAGTCACTTTACATAGTGTTCTGAGGTCAAGGTATATAGATGGGTGACCACCCGTGTCGTGACGAATACTCACCGTGAAAAAACATGTGTTCTTCAACCAATCGTACCCCCCACCCCCTATCAGGCTAATGGTCATGGTTGCCAATGCTAAAGATCAATAACAAAAAAAGTAATGCAAATCGTCACCGTCTTATACACTGTTGAAATGGTGTGCGTATGTGTAGATTAAATTATTATGTAGGCAGTGTTTGCGGGATAATCACCCGTCATGTGGAATGTCTGGTCACACTAATATTTAAGTACGCATGCGTATGAATGCACAATATTGTACGATCTTTCATGACATATTGTATTTAATTATTATACTTTACAAAAGACGCAAATAAACATGAATAATAATTTCTGATAGTATAATGTATTGCACCGATAAAGTAGCAACTGATGCGACCACCGCACAATTATGTGACTATTTTCTAGACTTTTTTAGATGTGGAGTTAGTCTCGTGTAAAGCTGGGCCGATAGCACTTTTTCCCGATATCCGATATTCCGATTTATTTTGCCGATACAAAACCGATAGCCGGTCTGATATTTTATTTCCATGAACCGATATAAAAATACTTAAAAACCCGATATATATTTCAAAAACCGATACCCGATATATAAATCGATATTATTGAATCCTTAATGGTACTTTGTATGAGCTGACACGACAGTTTCATTTTTGTACTTTTTACATTGGATATTTTACTCTGGAATAGATCACTCCTTAATTATTCTTTGCCATTATAGTTTAGTCAGTACTACAGTTTATTAATTATAATTTAACAAATACATCGAAACTAAGTGACCTTATTTTGTTATCATCATAAATTCATAAAATATAATTGCCGCAATAATAATATCGTTGTTGACGATTATCTTTGATTACCTATTGATTGGATACAATTATTTAATTATTAAGAATGTGATAGTGTTTTTTATATTAGCGTAAACACTTAGTACACATTTAGTTTATACTTATAAAGTTATAAGATATCCTCATAGCTCATAGGTGAATTTCTACTTGTAATAATATGTTAAGCGGGTTTTTTCATTAAGATATATTTTATTTCGTGCAAATCAATTATTTCATTCATTTTTGTTAGAAATTTACGAATTTGTAATTGAATTAATTCATGAAATAAATTTGTATAAGAAAACTAAAACCACAAAAACTTCTGATTAAACATTAAACATTGTTATAAGATGATTTAACCTTATTTAGTTCCAGAAGAACGTTAGTAAAGTATAATAAACATAATCGTCCTCTGATATTTTATTGTGTACTTAATTAGCTATACATAAATATTTGTCGACAGTTACAAATTAATTGAATGATTTTCGGTTATTTTAAACACATTAGGTCATTGTTGTCGATAAAAATATAATTACTTATAAATAAATGATAAGTTAAAATTTCTCAACTTATTGTTACTTATGTGCTATGGCCAATCCGACATAATTATTTGTAAAAAATAATGAGTCGAGACAGATTTAATACTAATAAAAAAACCTAGAAAACGCGATGAACAATATTATATACTGATCTCTTCAGAAGCGAGGCTCGTGCAAATATTTTATTACGGTATTAATATATTTATGACAGTTTGTTCTCATTCGTCTCACATAAACGGGTTATATCTTGGTATTAGTAGCTATGTATATTTATGATATTCGCACATGTAAGTACGTATATTATTTTGTTTTTCTTCAGAGTTTGCTATGATAAATAATATAATATATTGATTGATAAATAATAATTACACCAGCTTTATTTGAATATTGAAAATTTATATAGTTGTACACATATTTTTCAACTGTGGAGTTTTTGATAGGCATTGATGACGTATCACAGTTCACAATAATAATGTCATCTAAGCACGTTTAATAATTAGCATAATTACTGTTATGTATGATATGATTGGGCATATTATTTAGTTATATGATTTTGACTATTACAGTGAAATCTATGATTAATGATTTTTTTTTTTATACGTTTGAGTATTAATAGTATTATACTAGGTACCTAGAATATTATTAAAAATACTACAGCTGTGATTATTTCAATCCTTGCAGATAGGGCTAATATCGACTTTTAGGTCGACAGTACCTTCCTGATCAGTTACTATAACAGGTATCGTTGTTTTTAATTAAGCTATTATTTTTTTAGTAAATTTATGTTTGAACAATTTTAAACATTAAAAGGTAAAGTACAGCATTCTTTACATGATTTATCGTATGGTTGTACCTATGTCTAACAGGTATTGGGACAAAATATCCAAGGAAAAAATATCCTGTACTAAAATATCCAAGTCAAAATATCCAAGGTTAAAATATCCAACGGATAAAATATCCTGTACTAAAATATCCAAGTCAAAATATCCAAGGTTAAAATATCCAACGGATAAAATATCCAGGGATAAAACGAGTAGAAAATTATATAAGTGAAATAACAAGTCGTTATGAATACAATCTAAAACGCACATCCCTTTAACTCTTCTATTAACCTGCTACCAATAACGCATCACCAATCTTCGTTTACATATGTAAACTACCTATTATAGTTTGTACATACATTGTTTATTTACTTCCACTAAAATATCATTCATCGTTTGCTCTTCGACAAATAAATATATTAAATACATTTAAAGTGTCGCATTTCTTAAAACTTTTTTTTTTAATTTTTAGTAAGCAACTTGAACTTTTGGGTACTCCACCATAGTTTATCCACCAGTCATATTTGTTGAAGATGTTCGAGATAATCTGACGTAATAGAAAAATGGTAACTATCTTACAAAAAAAGATAGAACGACAATTATTATAGCGTTACTACGGCTGTCACGACTTTATCGAATGGTTCCTCAGGATCAGATCAGATACGATGACAATATTTTATCAACCATCATACTCGATCCTGTAAATTGTAATGCTACTACATTGTTATTACGAGCTCGTGGTATTATAGAACCCATTATGCAGCGTGTTGGACGATCGTTATGTAAATCATTACGAGCAGTGTGTGATAAAACGGAAAAATAACAACGTAAAACGGTCGACCGGGCGGGGTGACGCGATTTCTCCTCTTCGTCGATCATCTGCGCCATGTGTCCACGTGATCGACCGTGTCGCATACCAACGGCACTATTATGATATACTATCGACATTATTGACCACCGCTGCAGTCGTCCGGCGCTTTTCGATTGACCGTCGGAAAACTCGCTCCGCATAACCGTGGAGGCGGACTTACGTTGAGTACTCCGCAGTGTTTGCAGCCCAAGACATCGTCACTGCGCGGATATAGGTCCTCGGACTGTGGCAGGCGCTTAATCGTCGTCAATCTCCACCACGGTCGCCGCCGATGGATCAAGTCTCCGGTTAATTGTGGTTGCAGTATTTGCCGTTTCACCTAGTAGCCGTACCGGTCAACAACATGGACGGTCGGTTCATTCTTGTTACCGGGGTCGTGGTCTTCGGGCTGTGCGTCCCCTGTCCAGCGTCCACCACCGTCAGCATCCCTAACGAGTCTTCTATCGGAACCTCCACTGTGCATTCCATCGAAGATTTAATGGAATTGGCCACCGAAAACTCGGAGTTGTCCAACAACACTATCGATCTCGTTCCCAACAATTTCACGGATATCGTCATCAACAATAATTTCACAGGTGTCGTTATCGATAACTCCACAACATTTATCATCGGAAACTTTACAAAATTTTTCATCGACAACTCAACGAAATTAATCTTTGACAACTCTACCGGTCCCAAACTCACCGGACCGAATGTATGCACGTATATGAAAAAGTAAGTGACACATCATTCGCAAACCCGATTTCATTGGAATTTATTTGAAAAAATCGAAATCTCTAGTCATACATATATAGGTGGAAAACATCAAAGTAATTGATCCATCAAAGTAAAATACATAAAATCTTTATAAGAATATAGGTAATCGGATTTAAAAAAGTATCCTGTATCGTTTATAAAACCTCTGTTTTTCGTTAAATCTCTTATTAAGTAATTTAATAAATGGCTTATTATTTTGATCATTGTAGCTTATTATAACTTTTCATTGTCCAAGGAAAGCAAAAAAATCGCTTAATCACCTAGTCACCAACAGTACGCCAACCCTCTCATTCCCAAAAAATATTGAACTTGGTTTCGACGGCCCCACACACAAAACATCAGTGCATTGAGTACATTTTGCTTTTGTTCCAAATTTATTGAACAATTAGCGTATACAATATACATTTTACGAATTGTTTGATTTTTAATGTACAACAACTTTCGTTAATTAGTTACAATTTGGACACCATATTATATTTTACAATAAAATTTTAGATTCTAGATTTCATTAATTAAAATAATTGGAGGTTAAATAATTTAAAATTTATAATTTTTAGTTACGAATCAAAAAAAAAAATCACTAAGTATGAAATCCATTCGTTCAAAACTCCATATTTCTGTTTCAATAATTGGAAATTTGTATGTTATTTTGTAACTGAAACTGCAGTTCCAATTCATACCGAAATCGTAAGTCTTATGTTTTATATTTTTGAACAAACCAAAATAGTTTTAAATCTAAGGAACGTAAATTAGGAATAAACTAACTTAACGTATACTTATAAAATTGATTATGCGATTGGTAAGTACATAGTATAACGAAAAAGAATTTAACTCTTAGTCTTAGAAATCACATTTAAAAAAAAATAACTCGTTATGTAGGTAATTTTTTAAACGTATTTTACGGTATATTATACATGATAGCTATAATGATATCAAATCATGATTGATATGGCCGACAAAACATATAACGTCATAATAATGTAGTTTAATCTGTTTGAGCAAATTATAGAATAATGTCAGCATACGAGTTACTTAATTTAAGAACGTTAACCATGTATTGTTATCACTTATCATACTGACATTAATGGAAATTGCATTTAACACTTTTTAGTACATTATTATTGTTAAGAATAATAAACTAACCAGTATGCAAGTGATTTTAACTTCATTATCATGAATTCACTTTCAAATCATAGACTCAAATAAATATAATGTAGTGATATATTTGGTTTTGGACGTAACTTAAAAAATCAATGGTACGACAAATCAAGTAGAATAATAAAATATTATTACTAGGTAGTTGATATAATTACACAGTTTAAGTACAAAAATAAATGACCAGTGAAAGTGTTTAGTATTGTTATGACATTGTATAATACAGTTTTGAGTACATTTAAGTAACCATATTTTTTTAGGTTTATACAATAATTGTATGAAAACTCTACACTGAAAATTAAAAAAAATAATTGTTCACATTAAATTTCCAATCAAATGAAATTACATTTTTATAGCATACCCACGACCCCAAATTATGATCTAATTAATCCATTGTTTAGTCAGAAAACAACATTCAAATCATCAATACATGCTGCAATGGTTACGAAAAAACACCAAATGGGACAAAATGCCGTCCTGTCTGTAAAGACCCTTGTGTGTGGGGCAAATGTATTTCACCTAATGTGTGCAGCTGTGACGAATATTACGACGGACCTACCTGCCGCATAAGGATAGGTGCATTGGAAGTTTAACAATCAAACATTTTAATTAAATTTAGTTTAAAGAAAAAACAGTTTTTTTTATATAATTCACTTTTATACGTTTTAAGGTTGTCCATTGGGAAAGTTTGGATTTGATTGTTCGCAAACGTGTCAATGTCAAAATAATGCAACTTGCAATTATTTAAATGGTAGGTATAAAATGTATTATAATTCAATGCAACCAACACAATTACCTTTTTTGTTTTTCAGAGTTCAAAATGTCATTAAATATTCATGACATAATTTTTTTATTTAAAGTAATGTTAAATAAACGCTAGGATAAGAAAAAAAATCCTCAATTACGTTTAAATAATATATAGGTAATGCATAAAAAAAATAAATAAAAAAACAGGAGAACTTGTTCAAATAGGTGTGTACGGTACTTCTGTGTCATTGAGTAGGTAACTGTCACGATGTTGATAGTACATTTCTCCATTTCGGTGCCCGATAAAATTTTGATAAGTTATTGTATACGTAAAATCGATTCTGGTCAAAGGAAAACGGAGATTCAAATAAAAAAGACACAAAATATTTTTAAAAGTATAAAATGTATATAATATCACTTCATCACTTTATACACTATAGTAGGGATCAACCCTTTTGGGAAAGCTTGGTCACATTAAGCGAGTAGAAGTTATCATGGTCGATTTGCAAGGTTAGGTTATATTCTTACAATGTTGCACTTAATTTATAATAACGAGTGAAAAAAATATATTTATAATCAAAAGAAGATTTTTTTGTAAGGTACCAATAAAACTATAGTAAAATTTGAAATAGTTTTTTTAATGTGATGAATCAATATTTGGTCTGATTGAAGTTATAGAGTTTTAATCCGAATTTAATCGTCGATTACCCATAGCCGTAGGTGAATACCAACAGGCTATACTTTTTAATACTTTATCAAACAATAAAAAAAATTAATACGAAATATGATAATAATACATAATATTATTATTATTTCTACAATACAACTATTAACTATTTGTTTATTATATTTTAGATTCTGAGTGAAGCGATGAATGAATTGCTTTTACAATGAGGTAAAAATGCTTTAATTGTCAGCAACAGCATATTTTGTGATATGAAAATGAATCTAGTTGATATTTTGGGGGGGTCAAAAGTAAAAAATTCTCAATAGTTTTCAAAACTGTCAGGAAAAACAAACAAAAAATGAAGGAAAAATTTATATTTTTATGCAAAATCAGTTTCCAAAAAACTCTATTTCGTTTTTTAGTGCAACTAAAAAAATTACCGTAGGTATATGACATTTTCACTGAATGTTATAGACTGTTTATATGTTTTTATGCATAATACAATATTCGAAATATTGCCACTCTATTTAGCTTATATGGGCATAAGAAAATGTCAAGTTTCATTGGTTTTTTTAAAATTATTGTATATAAAAAATTGTTTGATAATTCCTGTTTAATGCTGTTTTTAGTTAGTTTTTAAACTTATTACTAAGAAAAGTACAGGGAAATGGGAATTATCTTATTTTTACTATATCAAACTTGATCAAAATCTTTTCTAGAAATAAACACTGCAATGTTGAAGATTGAAACATGTTCTCTACTCTAAAAAGTGATATCTCAGAAAAAAACACATCCCTACTTATTGTAAAATCAATACATTCACCTCACACTGCTCCGAACCTAAATCCCAATACTAATATTACTATAATTTTTATAACATTTTACCGTCGGAACACATTTCTTAGGTAATTGTTCTTGTCAGCAAGGATATTGGGGCGAATATTGTGAAGATCTATGTCCATCTGGATATTATGGTCATAAATGCCAAAATGTATGTAAATGTCAAACTGGTGCAAAATGTGATCCATTAAATGGTATTATATGATCTACTTATGTACTATTGATAAATCATTTTTTTTAAAAATAATTATCTCATTATATATTTGATTAAATAAAATGAGTAATATTACCTATAGGTACTTATATACAGATATTTTTCAGGTGCTTGTAACTGCTCACCAGGATACACAGGAACAAATTGTGAATTAAAATGTCCCCCAGGATTTTATGGTTATAATTGCCAAAATCAATGCAAATATCAGAATGGTACAACATGCGATATCGTTAATGGTACAATGTCTTCTATTGGAATCTAAATTGATAAATTATATGTTGTATTTGAAATACTTTATTCAAACTAACAAATGGAATAGTATATCTAACTAATTTTATAAATATTAATATATTATGCTAATATTTTTCAGTTAATTGTACTTGTCTACCAGGATATGAAGAACACAATGCTCAATTGATTGAATGTGATTGTCAAAATGGTACATTATGCAGTTCACTAAATGGTATAAATAATTTAAATTCGAATTCAAAATTAATAATATTGTAACTTAGAGGCATTGGTGGAATTTAGTACAATATTAATTGTTCGAAAGGTTCTAATTTTTAAATTACGAATATTTAACTACTATATTATTAAATAGTATAATATATTGGCACTTTATTTTTCACCTGAAAGTGTTTGGCTACTTATATTTTGAAAATGTTTTGTAGAATTTTTTGATAATAGTATTAAGAAAATCAAAATAATCGTAGGTATAATATTTTCTAGAAACTTGCTCTTGCCAACCAGGACATGAAGGAAACAATTGCAAATTTACTTGTCCCCCGGGCTATTATGGTAAAACTTGTCAGAATCCGTGTAAATGTCAAAACGATGCAAAATGTGACGCAGTGAATGGTACAATATTAATCATTAGAACAATTTTTTTTTAAAATACTTAACTCAATATAAATTATAAACAGGAAGAAAACTACTGAATTACAGTAATTAATGTCACTAAGTTATTTTCCAGGACATTGTTATTGTACTCCAGGATTTACTGGAGAATATTGCTCGTTGACTTGTCCACCGGGACTCTATGGCTATCAATGTCAATACGAATGCAAATGTCAAAACGGTGCCCTATGCGATCCAATTATTGGTACGGTGTATTATATTATTAAAGTGCGAATACTCAAATATTATGCTTAACGTGAAATGTAAAATTATTTGAATTGAGGTTAACTATTACCTATTATTATTACAATATAAATCTTAACATGCAGACATAAAAGTTTTAAATACAATTAATACAAAATCAAATTTTTCCGGTATTTTGATACGTTATCATACAATATTCACTCACATTTACACGATAGCGTATTGTTATTTATTTATTTGTTTAAAGGATCTTGTGCATGTCCACCGGGTCTGTCGGGAAAGAACTGTCTTATTGGGAATAAGTCCAGAATCGACGGGGAAAATAATATGACGGTGTGTGATTGTAATTGGCTCAAATTTGACTACTGCGAACCATTAACCAGCATATGCAAATGCAAACAACCTGTCGACGGTTGTAGTGATATATTATGCATTAATCTAATACGTATTATAGTTTGTGATTCCATGGTGTGACAGGTTGAATACTGTGGTGTGCGGAAATATGGGGGTTTTACTTTATAGTGAATAAAACTGGTGTAGCGGCCTACTCTTAAAATAATAGTAGTATAGCCATAGTAGGCATTTTGGAAAAATAATATTAATGTGTGACGAGATAAAATCCAAGTACAGAGTACGTTCGGAACGAAATAATTTAATTTTAAATGTTGTCATTATGGGACGGAAAAAACATTAACACTTGTACGATATATAGATACATCAATACATTATTATACTTTATGGATCTAGACGTAGGTATGAAATATTTTTTTTTTACATAACCTACTGAATAAGGGATAAAAAAATAAACTATATTAAAATGAGAACGTCTTGGGTGTTTGGGATGGTTATAAAAGTCAATAGATATTAGATACCATAATATAGAATAAAGATTAAAATAATATTCAACGATTAAAATTAAACATAATAGTGTAAATATTTTTCATTTATTGACAACCATACTGTTATGTTTTTACGAAATAGGTGTTTGTGTCTGTGAACCCGGTTCGACCGGAAAAGATTGCGAGAAAGTTTGTCCACCCGGTACATACGGTGTAGATTGCAAATCAACTTGTAGATGTCAAAACGAATCAAAATGTCGTGGGGCCGACGGAATTTGTTTGTGTGAGCCCGGATTTTCCGGACCTACGTGCTCAGAAGGTGAGCTAAATATTTTTATTATTAATTTGCACTAAGAGACATATTCACAGAGGACTTATTAATTAAATATATCACTAAGTTAGGTACTTAGGTACCTTATTACAGTTCACATACTTGTGGTCTCATAATGTGACATCATAATATTCTTAATACGCCATCTATACGAACAAAAACGTAGAGACTTTACTTGCAGGGAGTTTTTTTTAGATTAATAGATAGCGTACTCGTTTAGGTAAAATAAACATATTTTAATCCAAATTGTATTAAACATTATAATATTACAATTTATACTTAAATATACGCAATTCATTATAATATTTAAAATACATAATATATCCTCCTGTCTATAATCTGTATTTTGGTAATTTAATTGGCTATTATTGCAATAATACAGCATAATATTGTTTAAAACGATTTGCATAAACAAAAAAACATACTTAGAACATTGATTTGTTAAGTTATAATTTAAAATGTTGTATTGGAAAATTAGAGAGCCTGAGGAAAGTTAGTACAAGCTAAATTACACTGATGATGGATAGATGCACAGGGAAAGATTAATTTTATTGAGAAATACGACAGGTGTGGATTTATAGGTAAGGTATGATGAATGAAGAAGTGAATAAAATTGGTAATACATACTTTACACCTATAATATTATATTATGTTATGATATAATCTCTGCTATTTTCGTTTTATTACAAAAACAATTTAATACATATTTAATGAATAAAAAGTGAGGCAATGGTCTTTTGAACATGATTTAATAGCCCATGATTGGTCTATTACATTTAAGCCATTTAATGATTTAATTTATTTTGTAACTCGATACTTATATTATATTCTAAATTAGTTAATCTGTTTACAGTAACATAGTCAGATGTTGAGAAACATTTATGAATATATTTTTAAATTCTAAACAGCGCATTACAGTATATTTATTAAATTTTACAATGATGAATGATGTGCATTTTTTTTAAATTAAAAAATTTGTTGTCTGTTTTTATCTTTTGAAGCAGTACATATTTACAACATTCAGAGGTTTATGGTAGTAAATTGGATTTAATTGGTACTTTCTCCCTTTTTTAAATTTATTCTTGTACTTAAAAATTCCGTTTTATAATTTTTAAATTTATCAAAAATTAAAGGTGCATAATATTTAATAAGTACAATAATTACAATTTGTTTTAGAACAAAGATAAACATCATGAGTACTCTTGAGCCTTCATTGATTACTATTTTCCATGCCAATTAAATCTGTTGAATGCATAATATTCTTTAATCTTACAGCAACTAAGATTGAAATTAGGTTGTTGATGATCTATAAAGGTTAACTACAACACGAATCTTTCAAAATGTTGTTATATAATATAACAGTATTTTTCATTATGAAATTCATGAGATCATTGAGCAAGCATACAAATATTAAAGAAGTCATATTAAAAATTATCATCACATTGACTATTTTATGGTTAAAATAATTGTTCGTATTATTTTCATAAAGTTATAAGAATAACAAATAACTAAAAAGTATATTGCCACGCGAGTATAAATACAATCAAGCATAACAGTTTTAATATTGATTTAAAAATAACAATTCTAAAATTAAATTAAATTAAATAAATCACGAAAGAAGAAAATTGAACCTTTTATATTTTTTAACAATATGACTTACTTTTGATTAAATATTCTTATTTCTTAGGATTTAATATTTTAAAGCTGTCTTTTTAATATTTATAAAAGTACCTAGGTACACCTACTCATTTATTAATTATTTATATAATAGTAGGTACAAATACAATATTTATTTCTCAAAACAAAAACTGAAATATACTTTACTTTATTTTGTATTAGAATATTCATAATAGATGGATTATTAATTAATATTTATTGGTATGTATGTATGTATGTATGTATGTATGTATACACTATTGTATGTTTAAAGTTTAAAGTTTTTATTTGTTATTAAAATACAAGATTACGACTTATTAAACTAGATTGGAGTTGGTTGCATTTCTTGCGTTCATATATTTAGTTAGGTACACACACTTTATACCCTATGGTACAGAAATATTTTTTTGAACGAAACTATTATAGGATTAAAAATAAAAACATATGGTTTTTATAGTTTTATTTTTTTGTTTGAATTCATACATTAAGTTTATAAAGTAATATTGTTGTAACTTGGCATATGTCAAAACCGAGCTTACTGCTTTCACTCGAGTCACAGGAAAAAAAAGTTTAAGAGAATAGAAAATCAGAGGAAAAATACAGTACAACTTTGATAATGAATTTGGTTGACATTTCATCCTGATTTTTGGTTCAAACTTTTTTTTTCTAATGTAGGTATAGTTTTAATTATTAAATTATGGCACTTTCGCTTTCGTTTGTATTATTCATTTTAAATATTTAATTACAGCTACAGATAATATTATTTTAATAGCTAGTCTCAAGTCTAAATACTTTGTGTATTACACAAATTAAATTAAAATTAATTGTAGTATGGTTTTTAGTTTTTATCGTACAAATAAACAAGAACATCACCATAACTTAACGATGTAATACTCACAATCGCATCAGAATGAAATATTAGCAAGATATCTTTCGTAGTTGATTTGACATTAAACGCATATTATATGGGATTCCATGGGAAACATTATCAAAGTGTAGTGTGGGTAGAAAAAAAATCTTAATTGGTGCTTACGTCCGGGCTCATAAAAAATATTTCCGACATAAATCACGAGAGTGGGGCTTACATATTATTATTTTCATCGCGCTCGGCAAAAATAATAACCACACAAATCATTTTCGCAGTATAATAATACATATACTTACTAGAATATCGCGGTCGATGGCTCGTCATTAAAACAGTTTTATTTTTGTAATAACTTTCGCGTCCTACTTGAGCAAATTACTAACATTTTCCAGAAAAAAAATAATAGCGAGCAGAGGGCACAACATTTTAAAATTTACCAGCTACTAGCTCACACAATTCGGGTGTACTTACACGGTACTAGTGGCGGTGACTTGGTATTTAATAATAAATAATAATATGATGAGTATATAAATTATTGTATTTTTTTATTATTTCATTGACTTATGCGTTGTGAAAAAAAATTGTCAACCCGATACGTCAAGGAGAACGTGCTGACTAGTATTGCGGGGAAAATTAAGGTTAACCATTTATGCCAGGTAATGTCCGGTAAATGGTCGTCACCGGTTTAGCAGGCAACCGGAAGTTTGCATTGTATAATATTAATAATTCCGGCTTAGACCAAACACTCATACAATTTGTTTCCAGACTGTGTGACAATCGACCGAGTGAAACGCACGTACACCGGTCGAAATTCGGTGGCAATTGCAATATTTTTCTGGATTTTTTTTTACTCCCGAAAATTTATCACAGAACATTAGCTCAATTTCTGATTTTCAATATCGCGGCAAACTTTTCACATTCGTTGTTTCCCCTTTTTTTTCTCCCTCGCCGAAGCGAAAAATAAACAATATGCTATTTCGGTCGATCGCAAAACAAAATCGCCTTATTGGATAATATTATAGGCACTTCGTATAGTTTGCACCAATAACTAGGCTATTATTTCTATCAAGTTAAGTAGGTTTTGTACAAACTTTTTAACTCATTCTAATTAAATTCGTAATTTAATACTAGGCAAATAGTTTATTCTGATTTTTTATTCTGAATATTCATTTACATTATGATTAAGACTCTTAGCAATTATTCTAACTGTTTGTCCGAAAAAGTAAAGATAATTTTAAAAACTTAAATTATGTAAACAATGTTGTAGATTTTTGGAGAGCATAATATTTTAAAACATTATAAAGGATGTGTGTGTGAAATGCGAATACTGATCTAATATTTTAATAACTGCTGTTTTTATGAGATTGTAGAAATTTTAGGAAATCAATATAAGAGAGTGTGGTCCATCTTAAAAAGTGTATTCGTTAAGACACATGGAATTATGCCCAAATTTTCAAGCAAAATAAAATATGTTCTCCTAGAATTTAAATACGTCTTGTATAAACATTCAAGAAAACGTTTTTCATGATTTTATTGTAAAACCATTAGTATAGTTTAAAAAAATTTTTTTTCCTTCGCTTTTTTACAAAAATGCATGGTGTGCACACTGTATAGCCGAGTATATCTATTTCTGTGGTTTTGAGTTTAATTTGTCGATTTATTTATTTCCATTGTAGCTTGTCCCAAAAATTATTATGGAGAAATGTGTTTGCGTAAGTGTATGTGCGATGCAACCACGGAAATTTGTAATCATATTAAAGGATGTGTAGCATGCAACAGCAGTTTTTCAAGTAAATATGAAAATTTACATATACCTATAACTGTATAAAGGAATGCGATAAAAATATATAGGAACGATAGGTATCATAACCTCAGGTGATTTTTATTCTATTTCATATATGTTATGTCTTTATCGATACTAGGGGAGAGTACAGACGAACAATAATTGTTGATATAATAGTACCTATGATTCTTTTGAATTACGTTATTTCTATGACATATATTTAAACACCAAATATTAAAAAATTAGCACAAAAAAATTTACAAAAAAAAAAAATAGTTGTAAAATATTATCTGCAATATAAATTTTTTTTTTCAATTATTTGATATAGGTTTAAGCATTAAAAAAAATCAAGAATAAAAGCTAAGAATTCAATCAACTCTGTCGACCAATGTCTATGATAGTTAAATATCGATGAATCTGAGTATAGGAACACTCAACAATTAAAAATACTGTTGAAAATTACTTTTATGTATCCAATTTAATATTATATTAAACTATATCATACTTATTCGATATTATATTATTAAGTACGTGTATAATGTAGTATGTGTGCAGCAGGTACATATTATACATACTTACACTTTAGCCACAATAACAATTTATTAATTATTGTTTAACAAATTATTTTTTTCCAAAATAATATATTCACTGTAATAATACCTATTACATTATTGTAAATGATATTATTTGAAATTTAAATTAACAGATGACAGTGAATGCTTCAATGCTCTTCAGTTAGAGCCAATAAATGATGAAGAGGTTTGGATTTTTGACATTTTGGTTATTTTGAGCTTTTTGATAATATCAACAATATGCATGGCGGTGCTGATGTGCTGCTATTACTACTGTAACCAACGTAAAATTAAAAGTAAGTTTTATATTAATGGCAGTTGTAAGTGTTTGTTGAAAAAAAGGACATTTAATCGAAAATCGTAGTACGACAACAGAATATCCGGAATGTTTGGCAATATAGTTATTACAACTTATCACTGCGATAGTGTCCTTTTACCAAAATCGATAATAATGAATTGCATAATGTTTAATATGTATGTTCTTTAAATTTCATAAGCCTGGTTAGTTTTAAGTTTTTAACGTACAATTTTTTTCCAATTTCCGTTTGTTATAAGACGTTAAAAATAAATCAATTAGTAATTGAAATTACATTTACATGACTTCAAAATAGAGGTTCTCGAATTGTGGCAAGCGTACCAACGGTAGTATATATATTTTTGATCAATTATGCTCAACAGATAAGGCGTTTGTAATTTACACATTGAAAATATCTATAATATTTTACAGATTTATAAATGTGAATACTGCTGGTATGAGACGTTAGTGATAACTGATAAGTGATAATTAATACGCTCACAATGTGGCACGCGGGAAAACATTTGAGAATCTCTAATCTATAACAATTTATTATAAACATTGTTATGTGTAGAATGTAATCTAGGGCAAGTAAACAATTTTGAACTTCGAAAGTCTACCGGCATAGAATCAAACCCTAACATTGAAGTGATTTGCACTACCAGCAATTGTGGAATGAACATTGGAAAGGATAAGTTCGATTCGAAAAAAACAATGACCAGCTATACGAACGAAACGTTTTACAACAATAATTATTCACGTGACAACAGTGTCGATGATTCCACCGGTGAAAACTTGTACTTGGAAATTGACGAAAGTACTTTCAACCGTGCAGGTACATAAATGATGTATATTAAGTGTGTACGTTTTGACAAATATTTGCTTTCCAAAGTAGTTAATCATTGTGTTTATTAAGGACCTGTTAATTTATTTAAGAGCTAATAATTAATGTCGAGAACGAAACTTAAAAAGAAAATGAAATTCAAACAATGTCTATTTTCGATTACCGACATAATAATATTATGTTTATTTTAAAGGTTTAAATTAAAGTAGGCGTTATAGCGGTAGGGCGATAGGGGAGGCTTAATAAACAATATCCATAGTCACTCAATGTGACGATTTTTGTGAACTTTTGTTGTTTGTGCCTATATTAATATTCATATCCAATTAATAAACATTTGGAAAGTGGTTAATCCGTCACATGGACAATTTGCTTGTGTATAATAATTCTGCTTGGAAAAACTTCGACGGTAAAACATTATATTGACGATTATACCATGTTTTTTTTTACAGAAGATTTGTACGATCATCTTGATTTCCTACGTCCAACGGTATCGTGGAAGCCACATTATCAAAGAACATTGGTGTTTCAAGATCAAGTAGTAGGCAATAGTTCGAAAAAAGAAGACACAACTTGATGCATTTTATTATTTTATATAATAACGTTTGTTTTATTGTTACATTTATATTTATATTATTATTATTATTAATTATTATAGACACCATAAGACTATTTTAAATACTATTAATATACACTGAAACAAATACGTAAACATTATAAACAATAACAAATAATATATTTTTCATATTATATTTAAATAAAATATTATTACGTAAAATTAGTATGGTTAATGGGTATATATATATACATATATATATGATATTAAAATGTAACCATAATTTTATATATTAAATTTTCGAGTCCTCAAAAATAATTCAAAACGATGGTATTTATTTTTAATGAATGATGGGCGCAAGCCGCAATGACGGAAATTATTGAATAATGAATGGAACATCATTGTTAAATAATTTCCGGTTCTAATAGTTCCGAAACCCATTTGTTGCCTCGTGTCAGTGCGAGATTACATTTTTACGTGCAATGATAAATATTATTTTAATTTATAATACAGTTTGTATGGTTTATTCGTGGTTTTTATTCACTCGTGTTCATAGTATATTATCTGGTTCCTTGTTCATTCTAATAAATCTTTTCGGTTTCTTTTTCTTGGTCACTTCTGGTTTTTTCTCATCGTTCGTCTCCTCATTGGGGTTGTTGACTTCGGACCCACCAACGACCGGTTGGGGTGTTTCTTGAAGTTTTTCGTCTTCGGTAGTTACGGGCTTACCAGCTTCAGGCTTATTAATTTTATTAACATCAATTTTCTTCTCTTCAGCGGCTACAGGTTTGGTGTCTAAGGCATCAGTTTTCTTTTCTTCAGCGGCTGGTTTGATTTCTAAGGCAGCCGTTTTCTTTTCTTCGGCGGTGGGTGTGATTTCACCGACGGCTGTTTTCTTCTCTTCGGCAGCTGGTTTGGTTTCTGAGATATCCGTTTTATTTTCTTCGGCGGCGGGTTTCAGGTCATCGGTGGTGGGTTCGATTTGTTCCACGGCAGGTGTTGTATTTTCTCGAACTACTGCAGTTGCGGCAGGTGGTGCGTTTTTGTCGGTGGCGATCGCAGCTGTTGGTTCGGGTTTTTCACCAGTGTCCACGGCAGGAGTTTGGTTTTTGGTTTCCTCGACTACCACGGGTTGGTTTACTTGGGGAGCGTCCGTTTTGAGAGGAGTCATATTTTCTTGATTGGTCTCTTCGGTTTTTACATCGCCCACCGACTGTTTTTCTTCACCTGGCTTTATCTCGACGTTGTTTTCTGGTTTGTTCTCTCCGGTCTTAACCTGCCCATCGCCGATCTTGTAAAACCTAAGATCGCTCTTAGCTGCTTTTGGTGTTATCCAGCTAGATATCACGCTCTCGTATTTTTCCTTCCATATGATCTTCTGTCTGAGTATCTCTTCTTCAAAATGCAAGACTTCCAATAATGTTGGGTTCCGGTTTTCGACGGTGTTACCGAAATATTTTTCACTGAAGCTCTGTAATATTTCGAGATCAGCTAGGCTATTTAAAGCTCGGATTCCTGCATGTAACATCGTACTCAATAACCCAACATTAGTATCTGCATATCTAATTCATACATTACATAAATGATCACTTGTTTTTTAAATGTAACATTAAACTTACTCTTGAATTAACGTTTCCCAGTTGTTTCTCAAGTAATTGAATGGGAATTGCCCCGCCGTTGGATTATCTAAAATTGATTGCCAAATGTCATTCAAGTCGTCGAATTTCACTTCTTCCGCTTCCAATATCCTGTAACGTTTCAAAATATAGAATTTATATAATTTTATCTGTTCGTTGTTATACTGTATTCGAATGTACTTTTGTAAAAATTGTGGATTTCGCGAACATGAAAAGCTTTTAGCTATGGATTTTCTGTCTGGAGTCCATTTAGAACTTGCGTATTTGCTCAACATAAATCTATGATCGTACTTGGTGGCATATTGCATGGCAGTACAGTAAACGGGTTTACGATCGTTCGGTGCGATACTGTAAAGGAAATTAACAATAAGTTAGTACGGTACCTACATATGAATCATTTAATAACACAAAAGTTTCTTAAAGAAAATTAAGTTATCAGTTAATTTATTTATACATATATTATATATTATATAATATGTGTATGTGTCGAGGGTGTGCTATGTATGTATAATGCTTTACACGTCATGTAAACTTTTAAATTACAACACATCCGAACTAAGATAATCATATAAACTTAGCATTAATAACTCAGATTTCAAGTGATTCGCGCATGGACGTGTGTGTGTATGTGTGACTGGGTTTTAATTCATCAAAAACTACTTTTGATAGTCTGTACTTTGTAGAAACTTTATTGGTTATTCTCGTTATCTATAACTTATTTAATAAACTTGAATCATTTTAAAATCGAGTTTAATTCTTAAGGGGTGCCTTTTTTAATCGTTATATAGGTAATTTTAGTTAGGATATATAGTAAGTAATTACATGATTTAAAGTTTAATACAAATAATATATATTGACAATATATGGATATTAGACTGGTATAAAAAATGCAATTATGGACTCTAATGGATATCTATTATGTTACAGAGATAATACAAATAAAAGTATAAATTATTGAGGATAAACACTAATCATTATACATTTATACATCATATAGGTAGTTAAAAAAAATAAATTTTAAATGAACTTCTCATTTTATGTTATTACTAAGCACCAATAAAAATTAAAAGAGTTATTTGTATTATTTGAGTTTTTTTTTGTTAATTAATTTTATTTAAAACGTTTTAAAAATGAGTAATATGCTCTTTATTCTACCTTCAACATTATTTTATATGTATTACTCTGTTTTTTTGAACATTTTTAAAGTGTAGACTTTTCAGTTAATTAATTTTTATTTATGTAACATTTTGTTAAATTTGAAAAAATTAAAATTTATGATACACAATTTTTTTATATTTGAAGCCGTAATAATCAACTCCCAAGGTACTTTTGTGAAATTAAAAACGAGGTTACTTTTTAATTTATCATATTAAGTAAAACTGCATTTAAAACATATTTTTCAAATATTAATAATAATTAAATAGTGTTTATCAAGTGTTTGTAATTTCTTCCAATGTAGAATTCCAATGTAGAATTGATCTTCTTTTATGATTTGTTATACTTTTATTTTAGTTATTTATATAATCATGTTATTTTATTGGTATGTTGTAGCTTAGAATTAATATAAAAAATAAAAATGATATGAATCACAAATAGGTATTATTTTGCTGATCTATAAGCTGTCGATTACTCACAGACGGTTGAGCGTCGATGGGGAAATTGGAGAAAACAAGATGCAAAAGGCACTCTGTCGGTAGTGAATGAGTGATCATTGGTCTATTATATTCGACAGCTAAGTTAAAGTGTTCCATAAAAGTTGTGTGTTTAATGGTACAGAACTGCTGGAATATTTCATGAAAAATTCGGGGAAATCTCGGAAAAGCTGTTTGTACAGAGTTTAGGAAAATATGGAAAAATTGGACAGTGTAAAAATAAAAATTTTCCGGAGAAAAACTACTTTTTAGAAAATTAAAATAAAACAGAATTTTTGAAAAATTCATAAATTGTATTTACGCTTAAAATAGTATAACAAAGTATGAGTAAAATTATATGTATATAGGTACCTACAAGTATGAAATAAACCCGGTTAAAAATATAGATAAAGAAACCTGTCATTGTCATTTCACATTTGGAGTGCATATGGTATTGACTATTAATACATGTATTTCAAAATTTGTTCTAAATATAACGTTATACCTATATATTAAATGTAAGAGAGTGTATTTCCCAGTAACCTTTAATGTATTATGATTATCAAGTATGATTATTTTTTAGATTGCTTCCATTTTACATAAATTTGAATTCTTTAGGATTAAACATTTTTTATTTTTTTATAAACATTTTTTTCGTCGAAACCACGTTTTTTTGTAATTTTTAATGAAACTAAATTGTCATCATTTTTTGGAAGAAACAGAATAAACCCTGGTTTTATTTGCAAACCATTTTATTTTTTGGAAATTATGATCCCTTAATATATTATTTAAAATTTAAATAAATATTCAATTTCAGACAATTAAAAATAATAAGTATTAATTAATTTTAAAGTAAATATGTTTTTTTACTGGATACAGTTTATCGTTGCAATCCATGTTTCAGACCAAGTTTTCTTAAGGTTTTGGTTATCACGGTTACATACTCGTATTAGTGCTATTAACAAAACAAATTTATGATTCATAGATATTTTCTCTGTAGTGGTAAAATATTGATATGATTTTTACTGATAGATAATTCGGAATTTATTATTCTTATATAATTCGTTCAATCGATGATGGTAATAAGTGCTATTGAGCAGGAATTCATTTGCAAAATTAAAAAAAAATTGATTGCACGTGAAAATTTAAATATTTATATGATATATAAATTTAATTTGATTTCTTATAATAAATATAACTACAGTGTATGTATTAATATCTACAGACAAAATTGAAAAATCGTATTGGACGATAAATAGCCGTATGCTATAGCCATTTGTTTATAATATGTACCTCTTATCATAGTTTAATCTCCCTTTCTCTCTCGAAAAAAATGTAATTTGGGCACGTCGAGTCAAAATAATTTTCCATCCTTGCTATTGATTAATGATAATAATAATTAATATTTAATTACGAATTAATTTCACTTGTAGTCTGCTTCCAATCATTAAACTGTTCTCTAGCCCACAAGACACATTTTTTCAATTCAACACGTCCAGCAAAATTTAACGTATCCATTTTGCCTAATATTAGGTCCGGTGAATCAATTGTACTTTCATGAAACATATCATATGCTTTCTGAACCACCATTTCCATATAAACCTTCAATTATAAATATTACATTCCAATTAATATGCAAATTAAAATAGCTTACAAAAATAGTATTTCATTCGAGATAATATGACTAAAATACAAATTTAATTTATTTTCATTTACTGGTTAGCACGTGGTAAAAAAAATGTTTGTTATTTATACTTAAATGAGATTTTTTCTTTGTAGGTAAATATTGACTCTTTGAAAATAATTTGTAATGTATTATAATATGGTTTATTAATTTATATAGAATTATACATATGCATATATATTTATATTTTTTTTTTAAGCTTCGACAACTAAGGCTATTAGCTGTAGAGGTTGCGGTACTGTGGAGTTACGGAACACGTGTGTGATATATATATTTATATCGGGCACAAAGAATAAATCACATTAATAAAATAATAAAAAAAGGAATTCAAGTTTCCGAATAACATAGGTACAGAGTTATAAGTGATGACTAAATTAATCTGAGATTTTAATAAGAAAAAACCAATACACATTTAGTTTGAATATTGTATTAAATGACAATATTAATGATTAATAAATGGATTAAATAAAATTGTATATGATAAATTAAGAATTTGACGCTCTATCTTGATATTTATTATATGTTATTTTACCATCATAACGTCTGGTTTCAGTCCGTCAAAACATATGTTAAGGGGCGGATAATTTATTTTTAAAATGAAGTATTTTAGTATTCTAGATTTATTTTTTTATGTATAAAGCTCCAGGTATTGTTGATGATTCAAATGTTCGTAAAATAGATAATTGGGTTTCTTGTAACTTTTGAGAGTGAAAAATAAGTAATTCATGATCGCTAAGGTAAAACGCATTGATTTTTTGCAATATATTCAACCCCAAAAAACAGTGTCAATTGTTTTCCCGTGTGGAGTGGTGTTGGAAGTAAACTTCAACACAAATTTGTCTTATCAATCTTCAGCCAATGTCTGAGCTTCAGAATTGTTAACATTTTTGTTGAAATCGCCGCTGATAGTCATAGGTAAGTGGTGATAGAAATTTTCTCCAAGAAACACTGAACCTGCTGAAGTATAACACGGAAGAAGTGCAAAATGTATGCACTTTATGAACTCGTTGATTTGGCGAGATATAAACCACAAGCACGGACCGTCCATTCTGCATCATTGGGCGGCCTTGTTGACACGTTCGTACAATATGAGTGTAGAAAGGGACGGGATAAATATGGCTGAGCAGTAGTTGCATTTCGAGAGAACAAGGTTTCCATCTTTGAAAATATTCGAGTACCTACCTACGTACGACATGGTATGTACCTACGAGATCATACTGGGCATGCGTGCCAAACCGACTGTTGCTAACCAAGCAGTCATACCAATTCCCTCAAGCCTGTGAGCTTGTAATTTTATATTTCCGTTCCCTTCGTTTATTATGACTATTACAGACATCTCATCGTTGTACGAATATAATATCATCGCATACGTACCGAAAGCGAATCGTAATGTTTAGTGTTATGCAACATCATCTCTATTTTGTTGAATGCATTAAAAATGGCGTGCCAGTATCCGGGGTAGGGACCTGCTTTTTGAATAACCCTTTCCAGGAATCCTAGGGCGTCGCTGAATCCGATAACACCTGAAAAGGCTCCTTCGAAAATGTCACCGACCAACTGGGCCACGGTATACTCGTCAAACGATTTTCCATTACTTATCTCGTAAGATATTCTATCCAAGAGAACATCTTCGTATGCCACCCTGTAGTAACCTGAAATGCAAACATTAATTAAATTCGAATACGTTCATATTTTTGAAGATAATAACTGACTGGGTTTATAATGTATCAGTTTTTGCGATTATTGCGGAACGGAGTTTCCCTTTTGAATCGGTGTTATTGTGGCCCCAGAAACTTTTTAATGATTTTGAATCTTATAATTAACCTTATCAATTACTTATCTTAATATTATCGTTCTGTCGTTGTAATTGTTTTCAACTAATTGTTCTTAATTTTTTTTTTTATTAAACAATAATAAATTACAATCTCACAATTGAGTTTTTATTACCTACTAAATACACTCATATACAATTTTTATCTAGCTATTTAAATCATTGAGATATAGGAGTTCTTGGATATATATTTTATTGCATTGTGCTGTTATAGTTAATTATACTTACATATTATACCTAACTTCCCTAACCTAATCTAACCTAAACATCCAGCTTAATTCAACTGATTATGGCCCTTATTTTTCTTCTATCACTGACCTAACCTGTTTGGTGTTGGTTGGCCAATATCCACGTGCCATTCGATGCCGAAATATATCCCGGCACTCTGGTTTCTGGATTGTTTTCCAGCCATACTGTTGTGCTGTATGCAGCGCCACAAGTCAAAGTTATTGGAATCACCCAATCGTTGGTAGGTTTAGGTTCATCGTAATCGAATCGAAACTTGGTTTATAAAAATAAAACATTGATATTATAGTTAAAAATATACAAATACTGAAATACAATAATAAGTATACTATCATGTTCATATTATAGGTAAAAAGGTACGAAACAAAAACAAACTCAATTTATTACTTGTTTCACAACCAAATCGTCGCCGTCGATTTGTAATTTTATCAAAGGATAGTTTTTGTTTTTTATCCACGTATTTACAATCTGCAAGACAGCAGAGCTTTCTGGTAATTTCACAGATTTGTTTCTGGCATTATCGTCCAACAATGTCCAAAAACTTATTGTATCTTTATATTTGTAAATTCTAAAAAAGTATGTACGTACACAATATAATATAAACATAAAATAATATTATAGTTATTTAAATTTTACTAGTTAAATGTGCTTAATATTGTTCGATGTACGTATTATTATTAGGTAACTATAAAAGTAGTTGAATGATATACAAAAAACTTTAAGAAAGGTTATGTTATACTAAAAAAAAAATATTGGATATCCCTCGAATCAAGACTCCGGTCACTCATGTCTAAAAATTAAATCATGCTTAAAAGGAACCAGAGATTTTACCAACACTTCTATATCCAGAAATGAAAATTCCTTGCTTTAGTCCTTAATAACAGTTATAGGCACTATAACTTTAACAGTCCTAAATTAATTTCTTCCTAAATAACATATTTGTTCAGCCTTGATTATAAGTCATAAGATATCACTTATTCAGTTGTTTATTATTAATTAATTATTATCATTTATTATCTTAATATTATTAATATCTATTTCTACCATTCATATATTTAGTTTTGTAATATATTATGTACTCTAATACTTAATATCATAATATTTTTATGTTATTATTTATTTATCTGTATATTTATATATTATTTATTTATATCGTTCACTTAAAATAATATTATTTCTTAGATTATGTTTTATTATTCTTATGGTTAATATTTTAATTGATTATGTATAATTCTTTATTAAGTCATATTACGTGAAATCTCAATAAAAAAAAAATATATATTTATATGTACAACCATAGTAGATTCTCGATAATTCCAAGTCAGAAGGATTTATAAAAAACTTCAAGTGATCGAGTGCTCATATTGCTAAGATTCTTAGCTTAAAGAGGTTAAAAATATGAGATATATTTGTTAGATTCTTAGACTCAAATGAAAATTCAAATTATTGAGTGTTATGAAAAACAATTATGAAAAGTACTATAGGATTATTTTATTTTTTATTCTCTTAAGTTACCAACTAGAATCACTTTCTCACCAGAAAAGATATTGAAGTAGAAAATATAAGCATTTCTACCACACTAAAGGGCGCGACAGATATAAAACTTGAAAAATAAACGAAACTGTAAAATAAATACTTTCATCGCTCTGCTTAAAATCTAAAACCAATAATGTTCCAAATACTAAACATTTTGCATGAAATTAAATTAATTTTATTCTAAAATAAATATTGGTTTTTGACAAAAAAGTAAAAACATAATATAATCGTTATGTAGTATCACCACATTTCTATCACTGAATATGTTTGAAAATTCATTTTTTTAAAATTATTTATGGATAATATTATTATAAGTTTTAGGACATTTAAAAGTGCTATTTTTATATTGATTTTTTTTTACTGCTTATAATATTATTGTGGTTTATCTAACTGTAATTTTTATCACTAACTAATAAACGCAGTTCAATATGTATTAAAATATTACGTTGTTATGATATTTTTAACATAATCATTGTTTTAAAAATTGATTAAAATTAAAATTATTGATCATAATATATTTTATTAACTTAACTTACTCTGTGTGTACAAATTCTCTAAGGGTTTGTTTAAAAATGTCTTCGGTAAATGTATTGTTCAACATTCGCAATATTGATGTACCTAGAAATACATTGTTGAATATTATGATATTTTCAAAACATTCGGCTATAATTGCATAATATACCTTTCACAGAATGTATGTATTTATATATTTCTGTATGGTGTTCATAGTTAGCCAGTGGCTCTGAATTTGTCCAACTATCGTAAAACATGACAGGTTGAATCGTGTCCATTGGAAATCTAGCTCCAAAATTCCAGGCAGGTTTGATCTTAACATCATGATGACAGTACATTAAATACAATAAATTACGTTGTTGCATATTCTATAACTGTTTAGCCTTACGTGATCGATGTTTACTATTTTAAGATAATTCACAATAGCTTCGTTCAACCATTTGTCCTCATTACTTCCTCGGTCAAGCCCTCGCAATGGCATAAGCCATTGTCGGATGACGTGCGCGACCATCAACTCTACAGATTTTTGGTACTCGATGATCGATGATGTATGTGTGGTACCTAAAATTGAATCTCTAAAAATATACAACAATACACAATATGCAATTATTTAGTCATTTAATACGATTATAGCATGATCAATTTTAATTCAACAAACTTAATCATGATTAAGCCTGGGCTTTCGGCTGTAGTCATGACCGCACTAGGGACGATGACTATATCAAGTTTGTTGGTCGGAAAATTGGTCGCTAAATAAGACGTCATGAAATCCAACGTTTTCGGCACTACATCTGTGATCATTTCAATTGAATCAGTAGAATCGGGGCTCCATACTGTCAGTTCTAATGGACTGTCGGTTGGTATAGGATTGGACTTGAAGTTTGACATAAACAATCCTAAAGAGTCTGGTCTGATAAGTCCGGTTTTCTCGAAATGATCTACGAATAGATTGTCATTGCTGTAACACGATTTATACAATTTGTTTTATCTATTTTTTTTTAAACAGATTTAGACAGTTTTTGTTATATATTTTTCTACTATTTCTACTTAAAAAAAACACCTACTGAATATATGTTTTAGTCTATTAATTTATGAACATTAAATAACATCAAAACTTTTATTTTAACTTTTACCTAGATATAGGTATATAATGGAATATTTATATCATCATACCCACTCAAAATAAATATTAATACCTAGGTACGCATTAGTTTGATTTTATTTAGGACAGTTAAAAAATATATTTTAACTATGAGTAAGAATATATAGATATCTAATAATATCTTATTTAGTTAAGCTGCGGTTAAAATTATTTTATTGCAATTTACACTACTCTGACTTTGTGGAAATTAAACTATAGTGAGAATAATAATTAATGATCAAATTTATTGAAAAACACTCTTTGTTTATAAATAATGTTGATAAATCATTGTATACAATATTTGGATTGCACTTACTATGGTTCCGTTGCTCTAACTTTTGTGTTAAAAATAACTCTAGTTTCCTTGCTTCTGACCACGCTCATTTCAAAAATGGCTTTGTGCTTAGGATTATCCACGCAGGGCATCAAATGTCTTGCCTTGCGAGGAGCTAACTTCGTGGCCACATACCATTGGTCCTTGACGACTTCTTTGTTGTCGAAAACGACCTTGAAAAATCCGCCGTTGGGATTCTGACCTATGGTGCCCGTGAAGTTCACGAACAAACTGTAGTAATGTCCAGATTTGAGAGGTTCGCCGACGGTCACCGTCAGTGTCTCCTGGCTTTCGTCTACCTCAGCGTTGAGCTCGTACTTGGAATCATCCTGAAACGTCGTAGTAGTCAACGGTCAAAAATCTATCTTACATATTATTTACATTCAAATCGATTCGCAGTGGACTTACTTTGAGTACTAATTCGGTTGGCGTGTCCATGCTCAGTCTGCGTTTTAACATCGTGTCGCCGTCGATTTTCAAAAGTCCGATGTGCAAGCTAATGACGGATGTATCGGTTTTGGGCCGGAAAATGACTTCCACCCGGCCGCTGTAATCGACGTCGTGTTTGGAGACCTTCCCATCGGCGGCATACAGCTTCGGGTCCAGAAAAACCTTGTAACTTTCCGGCTCGACGGCCAAAAATGGTATTTGACTGTCCGGGACGCCCGAGTCAGCCTTCTTTACGAACGAATCACGATATATGTACTAAATAATGACAATATTAACCCTATCAATGTACGTGTTTTGTTTTGTGTACGCCACATGGGACTTTACAACTTATCATCATTATTCTTACGTGTTTTATTTTAAAATCAAGAACTGTATTATTATTATTTTTTGTCATTTATGATCTTCCGAAAGTTTCTGAGCGTAAATAAAAAATATATTATTCAACAAAACGTACAAATTAATAGATTTCTCGAGTTGTTACTATAAATAGTTTTTTTTTATAAGGATTAAGATGAGAGTTCTAGATATCAAATCATTTACCATACGAATTAAAATATAAAATAATGGTTTTCATATCTAATGTTCAATAAAACATTACTATTATTCGGTAGGTATTATAATTATACTGACATTACTAATTTATGGGTTTTTAAAACTATTTATAATATTAGTAACTCATTTAAAAATCCATTCAGTTATTGCATAAAATATAAAATTAAAATTAAATTATAAATTAAAAATTATAAAATATTAAAATGTTCCATAAATTTAACAATTGCTATTTAATTTGTCACATCTCAAATCATAAATTATTTATTATGTGAGTATTAATAAACGATTAATAGTACGAAAGACGACTTGTATAATTTTGTAATTTATTAAGATTTTTCTTCATTGATTTATAGTTTAATAGTGATAGTTAGTAAGTAAATTATTAACTAAGTACTCGTCAAGTATGTACTGAAACGGATTATAAATAAGATAAAAATATAAAATTGATGATTAAGACATCTACAGAAGAATATATCAAATGCACAATTACCGATTAGTAAGTGTACTTTATAATTATTTATTATACTGACAGGTGTTCAATTGATGTCTTAATGAATGTACAAAATGAAAAATATGAACGATTAGTATGCCCAAGGAATAATGTTATGTTTTGTAGAACAGCTTCTAACTTTTACTCATCAAATTCGATTTAATATTAATACTATTAGATAAAATCAGTGCCCATCAGATTTGTTGAGGGAGTACTCAGTAAAATGTTATCGATTTCATTGAAAAAGTTTAAGGTGCTAAAAAAACCTGGGTAAAATATGTACTTACGTTATTCCTTGTAAGTTGTATTAAGTTCCAGACTAATGTCATTGATTCGATAAGGGAAGAGTGTTAATGAATAATGATAACAGATACATTTTTATTTTCATTATTTCAAAAAATATAAGTACCCGTAAATAAGTATATTTACTCAAATATATTTTTATATTTGTATACAATAAAGACATGAATCGATCATTACAAAGACAAAAACAATTTTTTTCGTAAACACATTCAGACTTGAAAGTATGCGGCATAATATAATATAGAATACGCACTACAATATAAGAACACCTCTAATTATCATTTTGATAAGTTTTATTATTATTTATTTGTTTATTTAATATGTTGAAAATAACATTGGTGTTTTAACTGCATTTTATAACGATCATATCAATGTCGTTTAAATATCGTATTTAAGTTTTGTTTTCAATCGACTAACGTTTTTCAAATTATTAGGTACATTAAGTAGGTCATAGATGTATAGATGTATGTGTAGAAAAATATGTTGTAAAATGTATTCTACTGAGGTAGGTAGGTAGCATAAAAAAAAGAAACTGTTCAGTCTAATATCACAAAAAAATATGTGACTGTATAATTATGTACTTGCACACAAACTGTTGAATAATGTAGGTTAGGTAAATTTTAGTAAACAATATAAATATACAGGAAAAGTATCAATTATTAATTAATAGGGTTAATTGAGTCAATTTACTTGTAAATTTTAATTTTCATTAACAAAGTAAGCTATAACTAATTTCCAATTTGTTATTAAATCATTTAATGTAGGAGTTTTTACAGCTTAGAAATGAAAGTGTAGGTAAAAATATAAATTAACATTATTCAATTATTGTAATTTTACAGCTTTTTAATACGTTTATATTCTGATACAGAAAAAAATGATTTGTGACCATTATAATAATGGCTTGATTATAATTTCCTAATATTTATAACAATATGATAATAGACTTTCATACCGACATATACCATCTACCCAACTACTACCTATTAAATAATCTTTGAATTGTTATTAATATACTAAAGTTTGATCTTGGAAATGCATGGAAATTTTCTTTAATATTACATTTGTTTAATTCTCTTTTCCATCATCCTTACCTTTAATATAGTTAACCTAAGTTTATATTAAATTTATTAAATTTAATGTAATAACGTTCAGGAATTATAACCAAATACCATAATGGTTTGCTATAAAAAATAAATATTATCTATGTATTGAAAAATGTTTTTTTAATATTTGTATTTTTAAGAAAGTTATTAACTTTAATAATAGTTTCAAACAAATACAAAACTAGATACCTACTAATAACTTTTTCTAAAATGAAAATATTGAAAGAAGCTCCTAACAAATCAGATAATATTATTCTTTTTAATTTTTATGATGGGTTATGATAATTCAATTTTGATAATGTCATTTTAATGTGTGAATTACAGATAGGTTTTTACTTTGTTCTACGTGTAGGTTTAAGAAAAGGATGAAATATCATACCGGTACACTCTCTTCGGAATATCATATTATTAATTGTATCCAAACTAAGATCCATCAAACACACCTTTGATATTATAATAAAAAAAAAGAGTACACTAACTATAACCTGCAGACTGCAGTGCCCGTATCCATTAAGTGCATATATATGCGGGATGAGGAAAATAATAATGATATTTATAAAAAAAAAAACTATGACTCATATAGGACTGTTTACTGTTTGTTTTTAGCACATCAACTAATTAATTATTTTCGAAGTTAAACGGATTTTAGTAGCAACGATAGTTTTAGCATAAAAATGACAAAGTAATTAATATTATATACGATGGAAAAAAGAAAGGTGAAAGTCGAAATCCTTACTACAATTTACCTTTTTATGTGTAAATATAGACGGAGATCGGCTTGAACAATTTTCCCTCGGTAATTTCCCAGCCTCCAACCTAAAATCGTTCCACGTTTGACAAGTATGATTTTATAACATTTTATTGAAACGGTTTGTTAGTATTTTAAAATTATTTACGAATTTGATTCTGTTTTGTCTTATTCGCTTATCCACTCTCGTGTCTTGTCGATATAGACGGAACACACCTCAGACTAGAACATTGACGAGTGGGGGGGGGGGAGGTCATGCCGATCATACTATTCGTTTAACGAATAAACCCGTCGTACTTATATAGGCGCCTAGTCGAATGTGAGCGGTTTTTGAGTAGTTTCGATTCGTTTCCGATTTACCTGTCTCAGTTGCCGTTCGGCCGTGTACCGTCCGAGAAACGCCGAAAACGCGGTCAACAGGAAGACGATGATGACCAGCAACACGAGCTTGGTCCGGTTGAGGAACACTCCGCCCTCGCGGTCATACTCGATCTCATTGAACGTGGTCACGCCGTCGGGTATGTTGTGGCCCCGGTGCCGGGCCTGTAGCGTGGACATCCTGAGCGTTTCGCTGTTCCGCCGTCACCGGAAACAATAATATTATGTATTTATGAACACGACGATATTACTATTCACGGCGATAATCACTCCTGTGTTCATCGAACATAATCCAAAATATTTTGCTGCCGTCGTCGTCGTCGTCGTCGTCGTTTTGTTTAAAAATCAGATAAAATAATATAAATATATTATGTATATATATGTTGTAATCATCCGGCACGACGACAGAAAAGAAAAATATTTTTAAAACACAATACCTACTATTATATATAATATAGGCACGGGGGTCGTACTTACGCGTTGTTGGGATCGTGTCTGCGAGACGCCATGTACGGTATATGTATTGTTGTTGACGTTGCCTATTATTATTATTATTTTCCCTTTTTTTTTTCGTATAGGTATATTATTGTTATTTTTTTTTTTTTTTACAAGTCTGATGACTAAACACCGGCGGTCTGTGCTCGCGTGCGTTCGCGAGAGGTGGGGGGCAGCTTTTTGGGTTATCTCCACACACGACCGCCGCCGACCCTATATTGTGCGAAACACATTTGTTAAACACCGGCTGTATTTAAACAGCGCAATACCTATATAACCATACGATATTATACGGAAAATATTATTATAATAGTAATAGTATATATATGTATGTACATATAGTGTAGGCCGCATGCATACCCACATTTTTTCGCATGTACATATTATACCTTTTAACAGTTGGATTCGTAATTATAATTATTATCACTTGCCGACTAAAGCTCGGTGGCTTACGTCTTTCGTCTTATTGTTACGCTCCACATTATCACAATACTTTAGTATACCGAATGACTCACCAACGATGCTCACCTCCCCTCCATTTTTGTCCTTTCATTATGATAATAACATGCATTAATCATACAAATTATTCAGGAAATCAGAACTTGTAAGTATACTCAACGATTATATTTTCAAAATATATAGGATTTTTTTATACCATTTGAACAGTGTCTTATTGTGAATGCTAGGTGTATAGGAATTATTTTTTCCAAACCAGAATATAGTAGTAGAATCGCTTTTTTTACTGTTAACTGTAAAGCAGGTAATTGTTATGAAAAAATGTTGATATATTTAAATCAATATTTGAACGAGTACACTGTGGGTTATCATATTTTATGCACAGAGGATAATATATTATAGTCGACGATAATAGTTTTGAATGATACCATATATGATGATTTATAACTTACAATAATTAATTTTATAATGGTATTCTATAATTTGTAAAAACCGTACGAGTATATTAAATACACTAGATTAATCAAAATTGCATCAATTGTAAATTGTACGTATAAAATATATTTTTATAAAACTATTATTCGGGAAAAATGATTTGTTGTACCTATATTTAAAGCTTAATAATTCAAATACTACCTATTCGTTGAAATTTTGATTCAAATGAATTGACATTTTTTAGTATAAACACAGAACACTATTATTAAATGGAATAAAACATGTACTTTCGAAATTTATTTGAAACTATGATCTTAGTATAGTGAAAGTGTCTAAATTCAAATTTCGAATAAAAACAAAATCAAGATTAAAATCAAGATTTCGGGCGAATGGTTGAGCATGATTAGTGAATAACAACTTGTAGGTATATCGTTGGTATACATATTGTCAACTGAGCGAGTATTTCATATCATTACAATACAGTGGAAATATCACTCTCATGTTATTATAATATATGTGTAATAGAACATAATCGGTATTTGAGCGTATTGTAATTACACACTGCCTTCTGAAAGAAACTCAATTTTATTATATAAACTAATTTAACGAGTGGCGTGTGCAGTGTTTCCTTTGTAACCACACATGGATACGATAGCGTGTAAATGGTAATTAAAGGTAATAGCCCGGAAAAACGTTTCACTGCAGTTATTGTCCACGACTGCAATAAATGCACTCTGCAGACACTGTCTAGTTCGTTTGATAATCGATTATGTTAATCATTCGAGAGTTTTCTCAGTTTTTCGTCAGGATCATGGTGTCTAATAATAATAATTTAACTGTCTGCCTAACATTTATCTGTTATTTTATTTAGGCACTGACTTGGACTGAATTCACTCAAACATACTTTATAATAATTAATGTAAAATATATATTTTGGACTGACTGATGTAGATTATAAATCCAGGATAGTATACTGAATATTTTATAATGTACATTCAATGAGCAACGTTCAACTGTTCTTATGTTGTTTAAAGTTGCTCTGTTATGTGTTCCATTTATACTTAAATAAACATAAAAGAGACAATACCTAATAAGATATGTGATAAACTTATGTAGGTACTATATTTTATAATTGATGTATATTTTGTGTATATTAATGTATACCTGTAGTAATAATATCTTATTTTTTAACAAAATATATCTGAAAAGGCAGTGTTATTGCCTGCATTACCTTTCATATCACATGGGTATACTATATATATGCATATATACATATTTTTTTTTTAATTCAATAAATTACATTATATTACTTTGAATTTTTGGTTTTGTACTCGGTAGTCACGAGGTTATCCTATAAAATAGCTACTCGGTCTCTCCATAGGTTGCTCATGTTGGTAGTTAGATTTTATGCGATTGCAGAATAGAAGTGAAGTTAAACGTTTGTCGACGTCGTTCCAGTCGGTCTGCATTTACAGTCACAGATAATATACTATCAAAATAAACACCCAATTACACGTTAATGTATATAAGGTGAAGTATAATAATGTCACGTACATTTATTTGAATATCGAATTAATAAATAGAAATTGACATACAAATCTATTTTTTTTTTTTTACCAAATTGTTTATTTTCATTCTCATTTAATAAGTTATACTTACGTTGGCACTAATATTACATTGCTTGGCGTACACGTAGTTAAGTTGTAATCCATTATCCAGACAGTTGTTAAATCAGAATTAACCAGTATCGTTAAGTCAACACCTACCCAAGGAGGTTTTGCATTGTGAATCGATTGTTGTTTTGAATTTTAATTGTCCGTAACAGTGCAGCGAGCGAGTGTCCGCACGGGCTGATGTATTACGTCATTGTATAAGCTTTTGGAAATTCTCACTTACAGCTGCCCACCGCCGTGTCCACATACCTTACATGCGGTCCCAGATTGAATGTATAGATGACTAAGTTGAACGTCAATCGATTTTCACTGGACGTGACTGACTTGCTAGACACTCAAATACGGCTCTCATATATACACTCTTGGGTTTCGACATTCGTAAAGAGCACAAGACTGGACCGTATCGACTATCAATCCCGTTCAATCACAGATTTCTAGATTTTCAAACTTCACACCTTTTAAACGACATTTCCAAAGCCCCTTATCACAAATCCTTATTACCTTCTCTGACTTTTGAGGTTCAACCCACCTACGGACGCGACTTTAAAAATTGCATCGACTCAGTTTCCGTGGACCGAAATTCACTTTTAGCCCACTCGGGGGGTCTGGGGGTCTCCCCCATCAACGCTCGGAGAGCTAGTTAAGCATAATAAAACCATTAAATCATAATTTCAAATATTTATTTGGAAGTCCGTTTTTAAAAATGTAGAAACCGGTTTACAAAATCGAAACCGAAACCTAAATTTGTAAATACCGGTATTGCTAAGTTGTAACCGGAATCGTGAAATTTCAGAACCGGTATACAAAATTGAAACCGAAACCGAAATTATTTCAATCGGTTTCAAGCCCTGAAAAAAATCACAGGGCTTGTCTGGGCACTCCCGGCCTTGTGCTCACGTCTGTTATTGTTGTATGCAATTCAATAAATAGTAATTACTAATGAAACCAAATGCAAATAAACCCCGATCCAGTGGTGATAAAGTGATGTAAAATGTATTGTGGTTACCTTATAGGTAGAAGGTATCTAACTAGATAAAATTATAGTTTCTTCAAAACTAATGGAAATTGATTTTATTGTTTACGTAACGATGTACAAGTATCTATATCGTTTTTAAAAATATTTGAATAAAGCATAGGAACTAGGAAGTGCTTCTTATGTTTTAAATTTTTACTTTGGTCATAAATGATAAATTAGTACATAATGCAGAGCAGGCTTACGTAACATACCTGCGGGCTGCCGGCACACTAAACACCCAGAAATGTATATTATGTGTTATGAATGTGTAATACTTAATATGTAATGATTTTTAAGATAATTATTATACAATTTATATCATGGTTTATTATATTGCCTATCCATACATTTGGAAAAGTAGTTTTTTGTAAAATTAAATGAGTTTAAAATTCATTATGAAATTTATATTTAAATTTAAAATATTAAAAAAATAAATCTCACTCGAATACATTTTTAATTATTTAAAGTGCTTCTTAGATTTTGTTTTAAAAATAATAATAATGGTATGAAACCATCATAAAACATGATCTGTAATTTTACTTTTGGTTGCCTTTACATGAGATAAAGCATTACAGAGCACCATGGAAAAGAGAAAGCCCTTAAAATGATTAAAACAAAGGTCTACGTGTACCTACATTGTAAAATCGTTGTACAAAAAAGTTTGGGTGCACACTGCACAGTAAACTGAGTATTCGTATATACTCAATTTCATTGTATAATCTCGTGATGTTATGTTTAATAATTAATATTGAACTATATTAAAAAAAAACAATAAATACACTTAAAGCATAAAATGTATTACAACTCGTCTTGTTTGAAAATATGAACATTATATTAAATTTCAAGTGATTGAAAACATAAAAATACGTGTTGATCCATCACTGTCAACGTTCTACATATTTTCAACGTATACAATCAATGATTTAATTGCATTATTATACTGGGTATAATAGTGAGTTTCGTTTTAATTTTTTTCGATATACAAAAAATAAACGGTTTCTTCTCAATTCTTATTAATATTTATTGCAAAATATTTGTTAAAAATATTCAACCGTCCAAATAATATTAAAACAGTTGAATAAAATGTTCCATAATATACATTCAGTTGTTCAAGCATCAAGCAACATGCTAATAGGCGTTGATAATTTCTTGTAATAATATATTTTATGCATTACAAAACTATTATAAAAACTGTCATGCGCAAAAGTAGTTAAGTTAATGAACAAAATTAATTTGACTTAATATACAGTCACAATGGTAAGTAATAAGTTAATAGTTAAGGAATAGTATATTTAACTCTTTTAGTTTAATTAATGTTATTTGGTTAAAAATTCCAGCCCGGGTATTTCATGCCCATACACGAGTCAAAAAGTTAAAAATTAGTTAATTTTCTTATTGAAAGTCTTATTTAACTTAACTTTTTTAAACTTAATTT